AAAAAAACATTTTTTAGTATTTTTTACTACCACGAACCAGTAGCATTTTTTACTACCGGTTTGGGCGAACTGGCTCAAACTGGTAGCATTTCAACCCTGCTCCAGGGGGCATCTTCCATCCGTCTCTCAGAACAGCTCTCCCACCCTTTGCGCCTGAGTCCCTGCTTCTCCTCTACTAGCGGCTGGGAACGATGGGCCCTGGAGTCCCTCCTGATGGCTTTCCTCCTCCACCTCGCAGCCCATTTCCTGCACCAGATGAAGACCGAGTGCCGCTTCTTCAATGGGACGCAGCGGGTGCGGTTCGTGGACAGGCAGATGTACAACCGGCAGGAGTTTGTCCGCTTCGACAGCGACCGCGGGGAGTTTGAGGCCGTCACTCCGTTGGGGCAGCCGGATGCGGACAAGTGGAACAGCGACCAGGTCTTCCTGCAGTACACAAGGAGCCAAGTGGATGCCTTGTGCCGCTACAACTATGAGCTTCTCCAAAGGAATTCTGTGATTGGCTGGAGAGGTGAGTTTGGGAGGGAGGGCTTCCTGTGGAGGGGGATGCTGGCCCCCACCTTTCATTTACTTTATTAAGTTTCTCCCGGATAAAGATTGACTCGTTATATATAGTCTATCCTCTCAGATCTACAAAATTTATTCATTTGTATTTATTGATATTTATTGATGATTCTAAACCTCCCACCTCCCTCAAAGAGGGGCTCTGGATGTTTCACAATATAACACAACCCATAAATTAAAAAATGTATAAAAATGAAAAGTAAGGTTAAAAATTAAATTACAGTGTAAACATTTGAAAATTGTACCGTAATGACAATTAAACATCAAAAGAGAGGAAAATATTCCTTCCCCCCCCCCCAAATCCAAATTCTCTTCCTGTCCAAAATCTGGGATCCTTTTGATCTCCTCCCGTAAATCCATCAAAATAGGATTTGTCATTGATTTTTTAAAATTCATTTTTATTCAACATTGAAATCACAATTACACTTTTACAGCTTTCCGTTATCGGTAAAAAAATATTTCTAATTTCAAATTTTCCATTCTAAGGCCTATTGTTTTATACATATACCTCCTTATTTCATAGTTACTCTTTTTTATAATATATACAACATTTATTTCTCTGTTACTTTCTAAAATATATACCATCTCCTTTTATTATACTTTCTATGTATTTATTATGCATTAATTTTACATCTCTCTTCAAGCCAATTATCCCACCTATTCCATGTCTTATAATACATTGTTTCCTCTCCATTTCTTAGTTCCATTAATTTATCCATTTCTGCGCATTCCAGCACCTTGTTTATGATCTCCCCTGCGTTTGAGGGGACATTTTTTTGTTTCCAGTATTGTGCGAATGAGATACCGGCTGCAATAATTATGTGGAGCATAATGCATTGAATTTCTTTACTTATATTTCCTTTTATTATTCCCAGAAGGAACAGCTCGGGCTTCATATCAATTTTTTGTTCCGTTACTTCCTGCAACCATTTTTGGATTTTTGTCCAGTACTCCCTATCTTTGGGACATATCCACCACATATGATAGAAGGTCCCGTGTTGATAATTAACATTTCCAACAATCAATCAATCTCTTCCAACACACACACAGATAC